AATCAACTCCGAAAAGCGGGAAGCTAACGGGGCACATTTCAGGTCTGCGAGTTCATCTGGAAATGCAAAAAATCTGAACTTTCCACAAGGGCATGACGAGGAGGCATGTTTGGGGCCACACCACGGAAGGAACGCTCACTTGCGACCGAGTTTTCCACATAATTCCTACAGACAAGTGACCATAGTCTACGACAGTGAAGGAAATTCTTCGCTTTCTACAAAACATTCCTCTAAAAATTGTCACGTAATAGGGGGCAAAGGCATGACAAGGGGTGATGTTTGGGGTCACACCACGGAAGAAACGCTCACCTGCGATTCCTTACAGACAAGTGACCGTAGTCTACGACAGTGAAGGAAATTGTTCGCTATCTTCACAGCTTTCTGCAAAACATCTCCTCTGAAAATGGAAAATGTCACATAATAGGCCCACTATGCCTGCTGAGAACTGTTCAAAGATTCCACTTGATATACAGAGGATGGGATATTGAGAGCAGAGGGAACACGTAAAGCCAGTAAGCGCTTAAAAACGAAATGAAGATCTAAGAATTCGGAAAATAACATTCATCTAATCTCACAATGTAGTGGATGAGATTGAGTACGTGGCGCATTCTGGGGTAAGTTTTGAGGCCCTTCTCTGTGTGTAGCGGTTAGCCCGCATAAGCGGGATTATATACACATCACATGCGAGCAACTACTTTTTGAGATGAAAATCGAGTGCATGGCGCAATCCTATATGGAGCTTTTCCAAAGTATCAAAGCACATTCTTATAGTGTCCGACGAGCTGAATTCAAAGATATCTTCGGATTCTCGAAAGCTCAATTTTGAACCGAGTTATAACGAATTCACGATCAGTGATACCGATGTAAAGGGAGTATACGCATGCAATCGATTCCACGAATTTCGGATAGATGCCGGTCACATGGCGCATTCTACCTTCGTTCTGACATGAGCTTCGGAACGAACCCTGGCAAATCTCGACCGATGTCAGTTCTAGGTTAGTTCATTGGCCCTGCTGGCGCAGTCTCGCGAAGTACGGGTAGCCGTCAATGGCTCGGCATGTTAAGCACTGTAGGACAAACGGTCAAAAATCGGGGAGAAACTATGTTTTCACTGCGTCATGATTGACATGTCGCTGAATAGCCTTTGCTCTGAAGAACACAACCGCAATTTCGCCAGCCATATCGTTGAGTTCGAAAGCGAAAAAAGGCTGGTCTTTTTATCAGGGTACGCCGCGCATTGATATTTGACACAACACCATAGCAGAAACGCTCGCACGCGATCGATTTGGACACGATATTCCTGCAGAGTACTAACTGTAGTCCCAGATGATAGGGCGATTTCATTCCTGCCTTCTCGTACTTCGACGAAATATCCCTCCAAACTTGAGAGAAATTACAAAATTAGGGTATGAAGTGTGCTTAAAACTCAACTAAAATTTGGTTCAAAATACATTAAGCACTTGTATCCAGCGCAGCGACAATACTTTCAGTTACTCAGTACATGAAAATGACATAGAAACCTGGCATACATTCAATTAACTTCACAATCCATTTGATGGGGTCGGATGTGTGGCGCACTCCAGACCAGGTGTGGAACGTTTTCTCCATGCGAATAATTAGCCTCCATAATTAGTACTGAGCGCGCAGCGTATACGTTCTTCTAGCTCTTGAGATAGAACCCGTGTGCATGGCGCATTCCGAAATCAAGCTTTCTGAAAATATTACAGCACCATCTTGTAGCGCTTGAAGAGCTGAGTTCAACGGTGTTTTCCGTTTCTGGAATACTTCACTCTGACCCGACTTATAACGAATTCACGAAATTAACGAGGATTCGCGTTATTCGCGTGAATTTTCGATTTCAAACGGCGAGTACTGTATCATCGAGGAAACACGATAACTTGCGCCGTTTGATACATTCAGCGCACTCGCTTTCGTTTTAAACGAGTGTTATAGGTGTTCAGGAGTTTGACATCTGGAAAATCATTTCTGGTCGAATTGAGATCTTTACACCTACTTAAAAAAGTGCTGCAGACTCGGGTGAGTTGGCATTTATTGAAGTCCTCTTCGATTTCTGATTTTTTCCGGGTAAATCATTAACAGGAGCTTGGGCCAGAACCTCACCTAGAGATTGCTCGTCATTGTTCATAAATTTGCGGAGAAGGGATCAAAAAGCTAATGTCGCACCCAACGTAAGACCGCTGATTGTCCTCCTAAGCTTCCAATGGATTCGGTAGGAAAGTCTACAGCGCTGTTGGAGCACCAAAGACATAAATTTTCATGAGCATTCCTATCGGAGTGACTTGTTGAAAAATGTTCGACCTCTCCTTAGAGAGCAATTTTCAGCAAGACTGGTCTTCAAGCCGTGCGGAAGCGGCTTCGTAGGTACAATACGTAGTTTCAAAAAGTTCACAAAACATCGAAAATACCTTGAAACCATATCCCATGACCCTGCAGACATGAGATCGGCATAGTAATCATCACATCCCAAAAGCGTGTGCGCTCCATATTCTTGTTAAGTTGGGTCCACTCCGTATCACAAGAATTTCTTGAATTCTGCTCAAAGATGCAGCAAATGTGGAATGCTTGAGTGACGTTCCCTTTCCAAGCAGCGTCACAACCAGCTGAAATAACATTATTTCACATTTTCCCGAACTGTATCGGCATCGATGACGTCCCCGTTGTGTCAACCTCAACGTTCGACAGTATCGCATAAATATCGGACGAGAGAAGAAATATCAGACTTCTTCGATGGTCACAGTATCGACTCCATATGTTACTCACCGTGTACATTTAGGATGAGGATTCTTATCATCACTATACTTGTGGCCACGTGCGTGAGCGCTGGATGGATCGGTTCTGAAAAGCCTATGCAAGGCCTCAAGAGCCTTGTAAAGGAACAGGTGACCAAGAATTTGAAAAACTTCATGGATCGCATGAAAGAGGTAGAATACTTTATTGAAGATTGCCTTTTATGAGTTCATGTCAAAGTTTTCCGATGTATCACCTGCATTTGCAGGTTTTCGTTAGCAACATGCTTGAATTCCGGAAAAGGTTGGGTGGATATAAGGAAAAGATAATGAAAAAACTCGTATTGACCCGAGAACAGAGGAAGGAACTCTCAGAGAGACTGAAGGTCAACAATGCGTATCAGAACTGCCTCTACTGAATGGGTAGATGTTCTAGATTTTATTTCAGATGTTCAAGAGAAAAACTGTTGATAAAGTCCTACCACTTGGAGATTCAATCGAGGAAATCAACACAAACAGTGGAGTTGCAGACATCCTGTTCCAGGGGGATATGGTTCTTTCGAAGTTCGTTACTAAATTTTTCATAGTTTCATTGTAAACCTTGCTTCATTTTCAGACAACAGCAGGATCAAATTGCTGCAGATATTAGCGATATCCGTTCCAAACGGCAAGCAATTAATGCATACGTTTACACCGGCAGTCGTTGGCGCAATAGGACGGTCTCTTATTTCTTCGACGACAAAACAAGTCGGCCGTTTTTACATATTCTTGTTAGCATGTTTGTAGAGATTGAACAAACGTTTTCTTGATATCCAGGTGATGAAGTTAAAAGTGTTTTCAAGAAAGCCGCGCAATTATGGACGGACAACACATGCGTTGACATCAAAGAAAACGAAAATGGTAAGTGTAAAAAGTCAGAACGACAAATATTCTTCTCAGATGTTTGAGTTTTAGCAGAGGACCGTATTCGCGTTCTCGCTCAGCCAGGATGTTGGTCGCACGTCGGTAGACAAGGTCGTGAACAGCAAATCTCACTTGGTCAAACCTGTGAATCGGTATGGGTTAGAAAAGTTTCCTTGCAAGAGACGGTATTCTGAGTATACTATCACTCGAGCAAGTTCAGAGACTAGCTTGAGCAGCTTAACAGGAACAACAGAACCACCAAAGTTCTTGCAATATTGACAACATTCCTCATTCTGCTTAAGGTCGGAACCGCCGCTCATGAACTTGGTCATGCCCTCGGATTCTTCCATACACACTCAAGGCACGACCGTGACGAATTCATAACAGTTGACACAGAAAATATCAAGGTGAGGCAGTGAAGGTGAACACGAAGACGCAATATTTTAGTAGTTTTCAGCCTGAGTTGCTATCTCAGTTCACAATGCAGACGGTTCAAAGCAACTACAACTATAATTTAACCTATGATTACGGCAGTATAATGCACTACGGAGCCACAAGGTAGAGCATAAATGAAGAAATGTATTTATCATGGAAATAGATCTTACATTTCAGCACTAGCTCTAACGGGAAGCTTACTATGGTGCCCAAAGACATAATGTACACAGAGACTCTAGGGTCACACTTTATTGCGTTCTACGATCTACTCATGCTCAACAAGTATTATGAATGCGGTAGGTTTAGGTGTGATTGTATAAGAATAATCACAGTGGAGATATTGCTTCAGATGAATGTAAACCTAAAAACACGCTGTGCCGAAATCGAGGATTCGCTAATCCTCGTGACTGCACCAAGTGCATCTGCCCCAGCGGTTACGGTGGACAGTTTTGCGGAGAAAGGGTGACTGCGTTAATAACTGTTCAGATCTACAAGCCCTATACAAAAATTTATTTCAGCCACCAGGTTGTGGTGCAGAATTGGAAGCAACGAGCGAATGGAAATTGCTTGAGGACGAGGTAGGAAATCGCAAAGCCGGCGGTTGGCCGAGAGAGGATTTCATGACGTGTAACTACTGGATCAAAGTTCGTGAATTCAAAAAAAACCTTAATCCGTAAACTTAAAACTGCATCTTAAGGCACCAATTGGTAAAAAGATAGAAGTGAAAATAAAGCAGCTCTCTCGTAATGTCGCCGAAGATGGATGCGTGTTCGCTGGAGTGGAAATTAAAACTCATCGGGACCAGCGACGTACCGGCTACAGGTACAATCCAAGACCACGCTACGAAAACTCATCAAAGGGTCTCGTACAGGCCTGGTACTAATCCAGAAAGTGTTTCAGATTCTGTTCAACGGATGACGTCGACACTGTTCTTACGTCCACTCTGAACATTGTTCCTGTGATTACTTATAACCGATTGTCTGCTACTGTCACAAAGCTAGAGTACCGCTACGTTTAACAGATAGTGAACCTTTCCAGCGAATAAATTACTCAATCCTTGTTTCAAACATGTGTCCAGAAACTATGCTGGGAAGATCTCCATGTACTGTGTTTGAATGCCTAAAAAAACTATTTTGCCTCCTTTGAGTCTATGGCAAAAAATCTGCCTTCCTATCCGCCGTGATATCGTAGTCACATAATATCAATTGCTCACTAGATCGAGCTACCCAAAAAACGGATTTTAGAACAGAGCGTTTATCCGTAACACCTGCACTTCCAAGCAAGATTCTAAAATTTTAGAAGTAGAACATCTTAAGGGCGAAACTTTTTGTGAGAATATAAATAAGTACGGAGAACTTTACGAGGAGGATCATGAGTAATTTTTCTCGTACGCATTAATCCAACTAAGAACAAAGAGACTATATTAATTATCATTTAATAACTTTTGTGGGATGCTCAACTTGCACACTTTCCTTTTGTTATATTGCACAGTAGGGGTTCATGTCGGACGTTTCACGAACAAAAGGTTGAAAAACAAGCCAGATACGTCGCAGCAGATTGCGAAAAGGGCTTGTTCCGAGCACAGTTACATCAGTTATTTCATGGCAAAATTGCACGCAAATGCCAGTACGATCCTCAATGGAAACTGGTTAGGTGGCGTCTTTCAGAGAGTGATTAATCATTACCAAGCCCCTTTATTAGTATTGTTTATGAAAAGAGTTCGATCTTATTCTCGAAAGCGTTTCTTTCTTTGACTTTCCATCTGACCGGTCCCCTTGAACGGTATTCAGTTGTTGTTGAGCCCGGAATATGTGTTGTCATGAAAACATTTATGAAATACTGCAACACAACGGAATTGCATGTGAAAAGTGTGTTATTTTGAACTCTCCGTTTCGCCTTACCAGGAAGGTCGTTCAGGGCGTGCCAAGCTTTTCGAAAACGGTTTTTTGCATGATATAGGGACACATGCAGAACCACAAAACTATGTTCATTTTTCCTAAATGGCTCTCTGAATACCAAAAAAGGAGCGAAGAAAAATTACCTTGGAAACTGTCGTTTCTACGGCTTCATTGTGGGCATATCGTCCACAACGTTGACTGATGTCATATTAAAGGGTTACCGCTATCCGTGCATTAAAAACAACGCGAACTTCTAACAAAATATTGCGTTTGTCCAAGCTATGTGCTGGAGATAGTGGCATGACTTCATAAGGGATTTCGGTGCCATCATGCGTATTCACTCGGTGGCTTAGTAGATAATGCGACGGACTCAAGTAGAGTTAACCGCCCGTTGCGCAAAGAACAACGAGGGGTTCGTATTCGGTCGACGAAAGGGGAGGGGTCGTATCTAAAAAGACGAGGCTGCAAGACGGCTTGAAAAGTGCAGTGTCCTGCAGTGCACATTAACGCTCTTCTCTCTTGGCGGCCGTAAGCAGACAAATTTTCCGAAGAGAGTTTCGATGCTTTCAAATCAAATCTAAGCGGAAACAAAGTGTAGCGAATTTGCTGAATTGAATTCTAGAGACCCCTTAGGAAAATCGAGGCAGAAGAAAGAATTCCATGAAGCTTCTCATCACATTAATATTGAAGAAAGTTATGGGCCTTTGAAGACTGCATAGTCGC